GGCGAAAAGTTATGGAAGTTCTCGAGCATCTTTCAAAGTAGCAGATCTGTCTTCTGCTCTTTAAAGCACTCCTGCAGCTTCTCAAGTTGCACTGAAGAGTTCTGTTTCTCTCACTGAGATTTATTAGCTAATATTTGCTTTATAGACTTATTTTTGGGTTTATTATGAAAGCGTTGAAACTTTTGTTCGGAAAATATCTCAAGAAAGCGAATATGAGATGACACGCTGAGCTCTGCGGGCTATTCCAACTTCGCTTTCCTGTTGTGCGGGGAATCTTTTCTTTGTAGGTTCAATTTAAATCCCTTATCCATTCACTGAAACATTTTAAAAAGAACTTTAAGGTTTTCCTGGAAACTTCAAGGTTTATTATTCTTCTTCTGTAGACTTCTAAAACAACAAGAGCGTCCCACGCTGCGGGTGCAGCTGTGCGATGACAGTTTGAAACACAGAGAAATCTGCACAACTTTCTTCCCTTTTGGTCTTTTTCTACACAAATAAGTTTTTAAAAATGCTATATAAAGAAACTTGAATGCATTTTTAAGCTTCTGTTGCTGTATTGCGGTTAATAACTCAAGGATCACGTGAAAGCGATCCGAACTTGCAATTTCGCGCTTTTGGAAATGTGCAAGAAAGCTGCTGGTTGCTGGTGTGACCAGATCCATCATCATTTGATTTGCAAAATTGCATAAATTTTACTTCTATTTAAAGGTTTTAAATATTAAAATCAAATCCGAACATCAAGTATATTGTAGAACTCGTTGAAGTCAAATCTATAATGACTTTCCCGAACCGTAGAGCCTGCAGCTTCGACGATCTTGAAATGATGCAGCTCTAAATGCTTTTTCACCAAGTAATTTACAATAATAAGTGCAAACTAAAGGCAACTTTCCTTTGCTGCTGCTAGAAAGAAGCTAACGAGTGCCGAAGGGTCACTGACACGGCAAGGCGTGCTGTATGAGCACCAGCAAGCGGCGGGAAGCCAGCAAGATGGGATACACAACTCTCTGAAGCTCATAGTTTCCCTGAAATAAAATAATTTATTTTAATTAAAAAAGAACAACTTATTGTAATTAAAAGAAAAGAAGTTGAAAGAATGCGAACGCGGCAATTTCGGCTGCCAAAGGTGGTCCTCATGTTCTCCACAACAACCAGCTGATTTGGATGCAAGTTTGGGGCGACGCACATGTAGAAAGACCCTAAATTAAATTAAGTTGAAATTAAAAAACGATGAGTTAATAAAGTGCAGAGATTTCCCACTTATATATATTATATATTGCGGCAGCAGAAAACCGGGTCTTTGAGCAGCGCATGCAGAGCCTATTCACGCGCAAACTTTTTGTCTTCTGCGCATGCGCCAGCTAATACGTATTTTATATATTTTTTTCGCAATTTATTTGACTTTATTTTGACATTTTTTCACAATTAGAGTGAGAAGAGTTGCAAAAGGAGCTCGCAGGCCTTTAGCCCCGATCTTCAAGACTGACGCGGGACCCCCAGGCAACTAGGCGAAATTCTGAGGTCATTTGTGCAGTTCTAGAACAGAAAATGACATTACACTGGCAAATAAAGTGAAAAAAATGAATTGCATGCCACGTTAATTATAAAACTCGCATATAAATGCAAATCTGGGGGTGGAAAGACCCTGCAGGATCATCAGACAAGATCAGAGTTTGTTACACTCGCCACACTACACACAGGAACTCCGCGCGCCTTAGCGGGTCAGCCGCTGCTGCGGCTCTTTACATTTAATTTTAATTTCCAAATAATTACAGATCTGTTCATTTTACTTTCATTTTGGCAATTTGTAGCGGGAATTGCTGCAGCTGTTGCTGACCCGGCTTACTGCAGCACCCCAAGGGCCTTACAAGGTGCTGCTGCTCCGCTGCAGCTGCCAAAACGAATACTTCATTACATGAAGCTGAAACGAGTCATAAAAATTAATTAAAATTGCTAATATTTGCGCTGAGAACAAATATGACTGGGCATTTCTTGCTGCTGCATTAGCTCATTATCTGCAATGTGGAGACAGGAGTAATATGCTGCACCAAAATTCCAGGCTGTGTTGGATCTACAAAATAGTTTTAAAAGGAACTATGGATGAAATGTTTCTGCAAAGAATTGTGAATTAAATGAGAAAAGGAAAAAGCGGCGAAGATCGCTGGCGGGCTTTTATGGTGAGCGATGGCTGCTGCGGTGACGGCGCGAAAGGGGGCATGAAATTGTTTCATTTGAATTGAAATATTCTAAAAAATAATTTAAAAAAAATAATCTATCGAAATATAGGTTTAAGAAAAGGTCTAATGCAGAGAAATATTCTTTTCTCGAAAGCTGCCAGCCTTGAGGATCTGCTGGTGCTGCAGAACTGCGCATACACCGCGTCTGGGCCTGGCCTCTTTTTCAGCGAAACTTTTTGCAAACTTTTTGAAACATTTTGAAACTTTCTGAAACTTTTTGAAGATTCTTTTTGAACTTCTTGCAAAAGTGTTTGCCGGCTTTTGCTGCTGTTTTCCCGTGTCACTGGCATTTAAAAAAGGCTTTTTCTGCACTAAAAAGCCCCGCATCCGAAAAGTTGAAACTTGAAAAGTTGCGAAATGCATGCAAACTTTGCTGCTGGTGTTTTTGGGGCTTTTTGAATCTTCTTTGAAAACTCTTTTTCCCTTTTTCCTCTCCAACTCACAGATGCACATTTGCTGCAAAAAGAAAACCTTTTGGAGCTCTAATTGGCACAAAAGCTGGCTCTGGCTGCTGCTGCCACCCTTTTCCGCGGAAAACCCACCGCTTTCTTGCTGCTTCTGCTGCTGCTGCTGCTGCTGCTGCTTGGCAGCGCGGCTTGCTGCTGCTGGCTTTTACTGCTTTCTTTGAACTCGAAAACAAATCCATTTGAGGGGCCCCACAACTCTTTTCAGCAGCTGCCAGGCAGCAGCTTTGGACTCAAAACTTCGCCGAATTTTGCAGAATTTAAAAATTACATTTTTTCCATTTTGTACCTTTTCAGGGGCCCCAGAAAAGCTCTCAGGGCCCAAGAGGTTCGCGGGGCCCCTAAAGTTTGCTGCGCGTTTCGCTGCAGCACGCAGCAAAAAAGGTGAAAATGCACTTGCAGCAGCAGCAGCAGCAACAGCAGCAGCGGCTAAATTGTCTGTGTAAAGCAGCAGCAAACAGACGTAATGTTGACAGCGTCTCCCGCAGTAGCAGCGCACGTTTACATGAGTGAGTTGCTGCTCGACAAACCAAAACTAGCTAGCTAGCAGCAGCAGCACCAGCAGCAAGAGCAGCAGCAGGGAGAACAGCTGCAGCAGCAGTTATTGTCGCAGTAGCCCGCTGCATCTCTTGCGGCGGTCCACCGCCGAAGCCACTGCAGCATCACTGACAGCAGAAGATGCGTGAGATAACCGGGCAGCGGCTGCTGCTGCTGCTGCTGCTGCTGCTCTGCTGCTGCTGCTGTGGGGTTGCAGCTAGAGGCCGGGCCTGTAGGCCCAACAAGAAGACTCAGACAGATTTTTAAAAAGTTTGTAATTAAATTGAATTTAAATTTAAAATAATTAAAAAGACTTTTGGGGGGGAGAAATAAAGCGCGCAGCAATCGGGGGCAGCCGCCGGTGTATCGGCGCCGCAGCAGCAGCAGCAGTGGCATCTGCTGCTGCTGCTGCTGCTGCTGCTGCAGCACAAATGGCATTGCTGTGCGCTTTCGTAAGTGGCCTGCTGCTGCTTTATCTAAGCTATTCTGCGCAGCCCCAAAAGTAGAAGAAGTTCCCACTAGTGCTGCTGCTGCTGCTGCTGCTGCGCTCACTCGGCAGCAGCAGATGCCGAAGCTGCTGCAGCAGGAGCACGTACATACGCCACCTTGCTGCTGGAGAGTTAGACAACAGGTCAGCAGCAGCAGCAGCAAGTTGAATGTTTCTGAAAATGCTGCTGCTGCAGCAGTAGCAGCGACTGTACATGGTACGTAGGCGGCGGCGCTGCCGCTGCTGCTGTTGCTGCTCCCCCACAGCTCCAGCAGCTGCTCCTGCTGCAGCAGCAGCAGCAGCTGCAGCAACAGCAGCTGGGTCTGCATCTGTTCTGCTGTTTGTGCGTCGTTTGGGGGATTTTGGAATATCAAGTGAGATTGTGCTGCTGTCCGTTGTGAAGTTTGGGCTGCTCGGTAGGCTTGCAGCAGCAGCAGCAGCAGCAGCGGCAGCAGCAGCAGCAGAACTTGTTGCCGCTATTGCGGCGTTACCGCTGCACTTCTTTTCTCCTCGATTCCTCCATTTCAGCCACCTCTCTCTTCTGTTTGTCTGTACACATCGCCTGCTGCTCCCCTAGCTGCAGCAACTGCAGCTGCAACTGCAGCAGAAGCTGCAGCAGCAGCAGCAGCGCCCCCCGCCAGCGCCCGCAGAGGGCAGCAGCAGCAGCAGTGACTAAAGCAGCTCCCACAGAACACTTTCTTGGTGCAACACAGCGCATTTCCGTCCCTGAAGGCGTTTGCTGCCCGCCAGCAGCAGCAGCAGCAACAGCAGCGGCAGCAGCAGCAGCAGCTGCTGCAGCACTGGGACGCCATCACAACAGAGCGGCTTGCATCTGCATGTGCATTTGTTTTCGGGTGTGATGCCCTGCCACTGATACTAGGCCACTGGAAACAGCAGCAGCAGCAGCGGCAGCAGCAGCGGCAGCAGCAGCAGCGGCAGGAAGGCAGCAGCAGCAAGGGCAGCAGCAGCGGGCCCGTTTTCTCCCAAGGCCTTGTGCCTGCCGCAGCACGCCAAGCCTCCTTTTTGCTGCTGCTTCCCAACCTTTGCTGCTGCCTTGCTGCTGTGGGGTGGCGTTGCTTCCAGGCCTGAAGCTCCTCCTGCCAGCCATCTGCGGAAGCAGCAGCAGCAACAGCAGCAGCAGCAGCAGGTGCTGCCCGGCGACGTCTTTTGGGTTTAGCGTTTCAGAAGCTTTCATAAGACTGCCCTAGCTCCCTCTGCTCCCGTAGCGACCGCTGCTGCTGCTGCTGCTGCTGCCGCTGCTGCCAGCTGCTCGTCATGATGTCCACTGCCGACACAGACACTCCCCCCCACAATGCGGGCCTGCTGAAGCTGCAGCAGCAGCAGCAGCAGCAGGAGGCAGCAGCAGATAAGTGCAGCTCTCAGCGTCCCAAGGCAAAGAGCAGCAGCAGCAGCAACAACAGCAGCAGCCCTAGCCTCGACGGCGCGCAGGAGCAGCAGCAGCAGCAAAGCAGCCGATTGCGCGCTGATGCCTCTGAATTTAGACCCCTGCCAAAGTCTGTTACTCCGCAGCAGCAGCAGCAGCAGCAGGCAGGCGTAGCCAGTAGCAGCTGCAGCGAGAAGGCCAACAGCAGCAGCAACAGCAG